TAATTTCTCTAAACTTATTCATACGGGGGCATCTGAAGATGATGAGCCATATATTCTTACTTCCGAGGCACACCAGGTTTACTATGTCAAGGATAAGAAACATAAAAACTGGAATATTGTCGTTCACCTTAAGCCACGGGATCTTTATGATATGGGTGATGGTGACATTATTTGCAATAGCGAATCCTTCCAACCCCTGAATTTTGAAGACTTCTTTCCTCAAGGAGATGATAATTTGCCAATTATCAGGTATATGTCTTTTCTTAAATTATTTAAATAATTAACTACTAATTACTAATTTCTTCTAAATACATTATAATCCTAACATAATTTTTTTAAATATGTCCTTTCAGGCCGGATGATGATGAAGAATAGCAGCATCAAAAATTTTATTATTAAAAAAATTTTCCTTCCATAAATACATATGTATAAATTAAAATTGGTTTAGTTTTTTAAAAAATAAAAAACAAACTTATTATTAAAAAAATTTTCCTCCCATAAATCCATATGTATAAATTAAAATTGGTTTAGATTTTTAAAAAATAAAAATTATAATTTGTAGTGGTTAGGTAACCGCTACAAATTTCAAACCACTACAAATACTAGCGGTTACTTATACGCTAGAAAATGGACAAACAGCTACAAAATGCACCAAAACGCTACAAAAAAACCGCTACAAATGTGTCACTGATCTCTATAAATATCATATCACCTCTACATTCATTTACCCCATCTTTTTTCTTTCCTCTCCTATTCTTCCTCATAATTCTCTCTTTTTTTCTTACTCTCTCATATGGTGATCTCTTTCTCTTCACTATATGGTAAGTGAATTTTATTTTGTAAGTCCTTATATCTTTTATTTGTCTTTACTTATAATTTACTAACATATTTATTTCTCTTTTTCTTTCAAATTTTTCTTCTTCACACTTGTCATGCCCTCCTCAACTAATTCAAATACCTCTCAACATAATAGTTTAGGTTCAATATTACAAACTATCCCATCTTCAATTCAACTATCTTATTAAATCTTCAATTCAATTATCTTATTAAATTAAATTCACTTCTTTTGACACACTCATAATTTAATTACATATTGTTTATTACAAAATTCAAATATATAAAAAGTAATACATAACTAATTATACAAATTAACAAAAATTCTCCAATATAATCTATTTAATGGTTTTTAAATTTATAATATTATATTTTCTAATAATCAAAAACCACAAATTTTTTTGTGCCTGGAAAAACATTTCTAGCGGTTCAAAACCATTAGAAATAAAAAAAATAACGGGACAAATTTTGTGAAATTTAAATTTTGCACCAAATTTCTAGCAGTTCAAATTGCTAGAAATGTTTTGGCGCCATTCAAAAATTTAATTTCTCAGCAAAATTTGATTTGGTTCAGAACTTTCTAGCGGTTATATAACCGCTACAATTTTTTTTGCTTTTTTGCAGCGGTTTCTATCCGTTAAAAATTTCATCTCCTACTACTAGATTTTTCTAGCGGTTAATTAACTGCTAGAAAATTTCTAGCGTTTTGACCATACCGTGTAGCGGTTGCCATAACTGCTAGAAATTTTTTCTTGCACTTGATTTTCTAGCAGTTTTTGTAACCGCTACAAATGTTATTTGTTGTGGTTAAAACCGCTAGAAATGTCTTATTTTAACCGCTACAAAATACATATTTTTTTGTAGTAAGAAATAGGGAATGGAAAGCTAGGTAAGTATGAATTCCAAGATTGAAACTTAGCAATGAGGTATAATGGAAAGTTGAAAAGGCTAAAGTTGAGTAAAAGTAGGGATATTCTCCTCAGTTGACCTCTTATTAAGGGTAAGGGTAGAGGTGTGACCCGGAAATTTCAAGAACGAAATTTCTTTTGAGAGGGGGAAAATTGTCACATCTTGAATTTTGGGCCTAGAAGTACCAAAATTAGACTAAAATAGGCAAGCTACCATACTCTTTTTGGCAAAGGTCCCAAAGGTTCCCTGGAAGGACAGAAGGACTCCCAGAGACTAAATCGTAAAAAAAAAGTTTTTTGGGATTAAGAAAAGAGAAAGTTAGAGACTCTAGTAAAGTCTCAAGGCTCAAGAATGAGAGATAGAGATAAACGTAGGCCAAATGTTATGTTGGAGGCCTTAATGATATGAATTATAGGGTTAAGCTGAACTAGGAGCAAAATCATAATTTTGTAAAGTTTCGAACCAGTAAAGGCAAAAATGAAAATTATGCCTAAAAATCTCAAAAAAAATTCCAGAAAATGAGAAATGACATGTTAAGACCTATATGTGAAATTTTAGGATCCGATATAAGGAGTTGAGGTAAGTAAGAGCCAAAGGTTATGCTAAAACCCTCAAAGGAAAATTCATGCCAAGCAAATGATTGATGCAAAGACCATCCTTATTATCCCATACCAGCATTATTACCTCTAACTAGAGTCATAGCTAACAAATGATTTATCCATTCGATTGGATCACACAAAATTCCAATCATGAGGCATCACCCAGCCAAGGTGCCTAACTCATCATGATTGGACTATGGCTCCCCTCCTTTTGACTAAACCAAGGAGGTGTCACGTCCATCGAAACTGTTATAATACCCAACCATAGGAAAAACATTGGAGATGGAATCCTGAGAATCGCTATTTACCGTCTTGTATTTACATACACAAAACCTCCCATCACAACTCCACATCCATCGGTGTGCATCAAAGGCAAGTAATCACAATTATGGCAGGTATATAAAATTCCAAACATATCCCTATGATTCCAAACATTATATCTCCAATATTGCATCCTTTTAATAGTCATCAAAATAACAATACTATTTTAGCCCAAGGAACTATATTCAATTGGGTTCATCATATAACTCATATAGCATAGCATCGTTTCCAAATCATTTTTAATGATTGAGAGTTCCAACTTTATCAATATTAGTTTTCGGTCAAACATACAACTCTAAATCAAGCCTTTCATGGGCACAGCAAATCCCGAAACAGTTTAATAGGGGTGTGTGTGTGTGTGTTATATTTGACAAGTACCTAAAGGAATAAGCAGGATTACCCATACTGCGGGCGGATAAGAAGAGTAGAAGAAGGAGTGAAAGAAGAAAGCGTGTATTATAAATTATAAAATAGTGATATGGGCCCCACTGTATCTATTTTAATTCTCTTTTTTTCCTTCTCTTCTTTTCTGTTCTTTTTTGTTTTGTTTAGTATATATAAAATTCCAATTATTCTTAAAATTCATATCATGGTACTTGAAAATCTCTAAATTTGCCAAGGTGACTACGGAAGTCTAAATAATTAAACTCTAGTTGTATACTTTACTCAATTTTTTGATAATAAATAATTGTAATATATTATGTGGGAACATATTTTAAATACTTCTATTTTATTTACCATACCTTATTAAATTTTTTCTCCCTTTCTTTTTGTAAATATATAATTTCAGATTATGCCATTCAAATTTAACCCTTTTTGGGTAATTCATCTATACTCTATAATTACATGGTAATTCCCAATTACCATAATATTCTCATTAAATTCAACTTAATATTAATAAATACATACTTCCTTTAATATTAAATCATATTCAATTATTTTTCTAATTTAATATTTTTAGATCTCAAATAATATGTTTAATCTACTTTAAACCTCAAATTATCTAATAAATCACATGTTAATAGCAATTCAATATTAGGAATAAAAACTTGGAATGTTAGACGATGATCAACATTCATCACTCCACACTCATTTCTCAACCATAAATCCTCTCAACCCGTCCCTTACCTCTTCCATCATCAATCTTCAATTCCATCCCTTCCACTCATCCATGGCTGCTCAAGGGCTGAAACTTGGAGGTTCTGGGCTTCGATTAATGTGTGGCTAAGCTTCTTCACAACTCTGGGTGTCGGAAGTTGATGGCTCTAGCTCAAATACGCTTTAAGAGATGAGTTTTATTTCCGTTCCCTTTTCTCTTTGTACTTATAATTCATATGTTTAGGTTTTATTTATATTTTGAGACTTTGATTATTATGCAGTCACTGTGGTTTGGTTTAGTTGTAATTTTGATTGATTAATATAGGACTTTGTGCTTTAATATATATGGTTACATATATGTTTCCTTTGGTTTCACTGGTATCTTTTTATCTAGCGTTGTTGTGCTGGTGGATTGACGTTAATGTCACTGTTTTCAAACCAGATGCATCAGACTTTCTTAAATTGCATATTAGGAGAGCTTAACAATATTTTTATTAATAAGATTCATTAACTGAAGCATGGGACTCAATTGATAATCAAGGTCTGGTATTTAAGAAAGCCTAATGATATTTTACTCAACTCCCATTATCTTTTAACTGAGCAAGGAAAGTAATCGAATCTCAATTCCCAAGAGTAACCCATCCCATATTCCATTTCAGTCACTATTATTTGAAAATACCAAAAATATCTATTTTCATTACACTTTATAATTTCATAGTTTTCAAATTAATTGTTAATTACATTCGTAGTTGATACGACTCGAGGTTGTGTCATACTACACTTTATGAAATTCATTGTCGATTGGGAATCCCAAAGCCCACGACATAAGGCTCTTGATCAGGTGCTGCTGATGTGGCAATCTTTAAAAAAAAAAGGAAAAAATAAATAGTAAAGCGTTTTCTCAAGATTTAAAAATTTCAGAATATTACAAGGGGCTAATTTGGGATTTTGAAATTGATTCATACTAGTTTGTCATTTAACAATTTTTAGGGTATTTTGTTATCTTTTTGCCCAAATATAAAATTTATAGTTGTGTTATTTAAAATTTATGAAGATTATCGTCTAACAAATTTCTAGAGGCTGGTTAAAAAAACACATTTTTCCGTGATCCATTCGTGGAATATCTATCCACACGCATATGTGTGCGTAAATGTTTTTCAAAAACACATTAAAATATATATAATGCTCTCAAGATTATAGTAGGAAAAAAAAAGCCTAAGCAATCTAAAAAAACTGAGGAGTCCTAGAATTTTGAGGGAAATTGATTGATCCACATTCACCTCACATTAGATATTTAAAAATTGCATATAGTTTATTTATTGAACTTTATTCGGAAAGCAATAACCGCCCGCGATATTCGGCAAGTGCCCAGAGTGGATAAATATTTCTATACATTGGATAATGAAGCATGCAATTCTTCATGAATACCCCGGTGATTTCCTCAAAATAAAGTCAATCACAAGCATTCAATTAAATCCACCATTTATTAGCTAAATTAGTTTAAATAAAAGATTAAAAAAAGTATTTTTAATCCTTTAATTTTATACAAGATTTATTTTGATACCTTAATTTTATAAATTGTTTTTTCAATCCTTTAACTTGGATTAATATCATGTATATCTTATGAAATTTGATCTTATTTTGCTTTTGATATCTGAAATTTGAAATCAGTGGTTTTGATTACTAAAATTTAACCTCATTTTGATTCACTTAACAAATTTTTGTCCTTAGAATGTATTGGTTCGTTTTTTTTAGTGAAAAATATATTGTTTTTGAAACCAAAACCACACGTTGCTAATTTCATGAACCAAAATATTGACCTTTTAACTTTAATAACGCTATTTTCATTAACAAAAAAATAATTATATTGCAATTTTAAATGTCGATATAATAATATTATGAAATGTTGACATTTTAGATTTAATTTTATAAAAAAATAATGATTTACCTAAAAAATCATGATTTAAGGTGTTATAAAGTATGAACGGATTTGGAGTAGAGAACTGAAAAGATAATTTATAAAATAAGAGACTAAACAAGGAGTCAAAGGCTTCATAAAATTTTTATTTTAAAAAAAACAGTATTCTAAATGAGTAATTAATTAAAAGATACTCACTTGTTGGGGCCAATCTCCATTCTCCAATTGAGCATTGATTAGGACTCTGGCTCCCCGATGAAGAGGTGTGGGATCTCTCTCAGCCTTCCAAACAAAATCTGATGTCAGCTTTTTATTTTTCTTGTAAACAATTCTCATTAAAGATTTTAAGGTAAATTATTATAATATAACCTGTCGAGCTTGCATTAAACCCATCATAGCCCAGGCCGTCTGTACCACATTTGACCTATTACCTTCAAGGGGAATATATTTCTGCACATTCATGAAAATGATGAGCAAATTAAGTGTGGGAACCTACTTATATATAAAATTATACTAAACTAATAAACATATTTCTCATTGTAATTACGTAAAACCTGAAACAACAAATCAGCTCATTAATTAGTATGCATTAAAACTAACGAAAACTGACCTTTAAATTTTATAGTATACGTACACACAAAAACATTTCTACAGTGAAGCCTTCACGGGAGAGGCATCTCTCCGTTTCTCTTCCCCTTCATTTCCCTCTACTTCCCATCTTAACCATAAAATTATATTTTAAGCAGTCCAAATTTCATATATTTCATAAAATTATAAATAAAATGATAATTTTTTCAAAAAATAAATAATTAATTAAACTACTAAATTTTAGCTAGGATAATTTAAAACAATAGCAAAACATTATTTATATAATTATTTTATATGATATAAAATATAGACCATTTAAATTGCAATTAATGATTGAGATGGACAAGGAATGAAAATGAAGGGAAGAGAAAGTAGAGAGACCCCTTCCCGGCTTGTACATAGGTTGTTACAGATATAATGCAAAGACTACTGCTGACTTTCTACACAACACTCACTGGTTGCATTCTATACCGGCTAAAAAAACAAATATTATAGATAATTATCTAAATTATCTTAAAATTTTAAAAAAATTATGTAAAAATTTTTTTTTTAAAAAAAAGCTTACTACACCGGTTGTGTTTACCACCATTGTAGAAAGGTAAAACTGATTTTTTTCCGAAAGTATATTACTTTCTACACTATATCTACACTAGCTACAAAATCGGAGTAAAAATCTTTTAACCATTATATTAAAAAAGCCTTTCTACACTTGGTGAACCAACCATGGACAATGCAGCCTATATAGAACTGCTCCGAATATGTATTTATTATAGAAAATTGACCTTTTTTGGACTCGAGAGACAGCTCTCTCCCCAGCCACCATCGTCTCGTTGTGAAGTAAGGAGAAAATTGACAGCTTTGCGAATGGCAAGACAATTATTATAAGTCTTACCAGAAGCAACAAGGCCACCTAATGCAAACCAAGTGCCATAAGTGAAGCAAACCCCCCAGTTGCCATACCATCCGCCATCTTCTGTTTGTGTGTCTTCAAGGAACCTCACAGCTTTCTCAATGAAGCTTTCAATCTCTTTCTTTCTGTGCCCTGGATACAGCTCTGAGAATAAAACTAAAGCCTGAATTGCTGATCCTGTGCATTCCACATATTCATGTTCCACTACGATGCCTTCAAAAAATTCTGTAGGATTCAATACCTGATCATCATCATCCAAACAATCTCTTTAATTAATTTCAAACTCAAATGATATTGCTATATGTGTGTGTATGAGATTCTTAAAAGAGAGACGAAGAAAAGCATTAAATTGATAATTTTTTCTTTAACTTTTGCCCTTACTAAAAAGAGAGCATTAACAATATGTTTTATATTTTCTCTCATATTTACTTTATATCTGTCTCAGCATTTATTAAGTCAACAAGAGTAAATTCGAAAAAAGCTCATTAATTACCATACAATCGACTTATATTTAGAAGCAAATTTTCTTCCTAACCCATGAATAGGAACAAAGTGGCATATGATGTATATATGTATGATTCTTACTTCCAACCAATCTTGAGCTTTGACTGGCTCCCATGCAGCTAAACCACCTTTTTCACTCTGCAAATATGTGAATTTTAGAGTTATATATGCTACTAATCAAATCAAAACACAAAGCAAACAGTACCCCAAAGAAATGGCTTTCTCTCAAGGAAAAACCCATGAAAATGATAACCTCTGGAGAGAAAATCCCCTGAGAAATTCAGTCAAAATTTCTGTATAATTTGAATTAATGAGATATTTCTATGAAAAAATCATTGTTTTATTATTATAATGAATCATAATTGCAATGTTACTTACTTGAAGTGACAACAAGACATTGACAGAATCATAAAGCCTTTCAGGTTCCGTCTTTTCACCCACAATCTCTGGTGGTAACATTGATAAAAGAAGACAACACTGAAAAGAAAACCAAAAGATATTTGCATGTGACTATATATATATATATATGTATTAAATGGCAACATAATTTAATAAGGTGAATCTGATAAAGTAAAAAGGTTATTCACTTTCAAGCCTTCTGCTGTGCAATCTGAAACTTGCCATCCATGGTCTTGATCTGAGAAAGTCCATGACCCTTTAGAAATGTGACGATACATGCTTTTAAAGTCGCCTAAGGGATTTTCCTTAACCTGATAAGATCATCAGTTTTAGTTAGTACTACAAGAGGATTTATGCATTAATGCACACCAATATAACAGCTCTCAATTAGTTACTAAAAAGTTGACCTGGGATTTCTTGATGAAGTCATGTCCTTTTGCAAGAGTAGAAGCAATTTCGTCAATTTGGTTTGTGGCAAGTAAAGCTTGCACAGCAAAACCAACATCCCATTGTTGGCTTCCAAAACTCTGCAAATAGTTAATGGCATATATTGATTAAACCCAAAATATTTCTTGGAAAAATCCTCAAAAAAATATCTTTAAAATTTCAAAATCCCAAATTAGGAATTAGTACGAAAATATGTTGTTATTTGCTTTTTAGATGTAGTAAATAATATTGATTTAGAATTTTGCAATTTAAGAGATATTTTTTGGTATTTTTCCATATTCCCTTTCATTAAATAAATTATTCTTATTAAAATAATAAACTTGAAGATATTTATGAACAGATTATTTGCTTACCTGCATGGTAATTCCATCTTCCGAAACCCATATGTAATCAGGAACCCTAGCAAGATGCTTCTTAAACGCATCTCCATTCGGATCTTCAATCCAACAAGCTAGCATACACAAAACCTGTGGCAAATGATGCAAAAGGGAAATTAAATACTGAATAGAAGCATGCTCACACCAAAATCAATAATCATATCAAAGTGCTTGGCATTAATTGAGTCATTCTAATTAATATTACCTTTTCGACGCAGCCAATAGTTATGTATCGACTAGTTTCATCTTCATAGTGAATATGCCTCATTGTTACTTGAAGAGCTTTTTCTCTTACCAACTTATTGAAGGGCCAACGAGTAAGAAGTGGCTCAGCAAATGTATATAAACTATCCCATATCAAATCTTGTATCAAGGGATGTGGATAGTAAAGATCTTCCTGCAATGATTTATATATTCGACATTAATTATCTATGATATACAATTGTTCCTTAATTAATTAGGAGAAATCAACAAGCTTATTGTGTTTGTTTCAATATATATATATCAAGAAATTATCATAGACTAAAGTAAAATTAAACTCACCTTTGCACAAAGGCGACGAGCTTCATTCCAATGAATTTGATGGTAAGGTTGAAGGTAGAGTTCTTGTCTGAGCTGAAGAATAAGAGGTGTGATGGGACCCACAAATCTTTTCCCATACAAATATGACATAGGCATGTAAACCAAGCGGCAGTAACACCACATTTTAGCTGTATTAATTACCATATCATGGAAGATATTATTATTAGATAATGCAATAGAACTAGCATTGAAGTTTTTTTTAACATTAACACACTAATTGTCACTTACACTAAAATAACTTACGTCACGTCCACTTATGTAGTTACGATTAGCTTTTTAATCGCACAATATGTGTGTGTGTGCGTGTGTGTAAGATCTCATCACATATCTTTGGACTGATTCACAAAAACCGCTAATGATTAGAAAGCAAAAAAACCATATATAGCATGAGAAATTACAATATAGTAAAATTAAAATGATGAGGCAAAATATCAACAGAAAATTAAGGGACTAAATAATACTATCTTCGGTCCTTAATATAACAGTTGGCTAACTAATTTGAGAAGATTAAAAAAATTAATTTAATTATTTGTAACAAATGTATGTTGACTTTCTTAAATTGCCCTTATTTAATCATGTATATTGAAACTGTACTTGGATAGAAATACTTTACAATTAACAGGAATGTTTGTGAAAATACATTATAAATTTGAGAGACAAAGTGATTGGGGTCTTATATTTAAGATCGAAGATAGTAGATATGACATGAAATTAAAACATGATTAAACCTCCAAATCTAAAATTCATATTAGAAATGTATGTTCACCATTGAATTACGTACCTGGATGCATAGGAAGGAATGATGGAAGGAGCCAGAACTCTGGTGGCATTGGATTTGTTCCACGCCACTCAAACAATCCAAGTATCTACAACAACAACATATATAGTAACAATATATGAGACAGACGGACATACATACATACATACATAAAACCAAACATGTAGGGATTGAATAAGATAGAACGTACTGAGAGCCAAGTCTTTCCCCAAGAGGGTGGTATGTAGGTGGCACCACCATGATCAAGAATCCATTTTCGAGCTCTGAAACAAGCATTGTCTTGGCCTCCATTGGGTCCTTCTCCAAGCATTCGCATGCATATATAGCTCAGCGCAGTGCAGAACATGGTACTGTGTCCCTCGATGTGTAGGCCCCACTCTCCATCTTCATTCTTTTAACACACACGCGAAAACTTAAAACTGTAACATATGACCAATACAATAAAGCACGTTTTGATGCTTAAATATGTATGTCATATGTACCTGGTGATAATATAGGTATCGAAGGATTTCTTTACGATACTCTTCTGGGAATACAGCTTCAAGATGACCAGTAATATACAAGCAAAATACCTGCACCATTTATACACATTTGAATTCGTTTAGTAGTTATTTAATATGAAAATGAAGTAGGATTAATTGGAACTTGTGACATAAATTTGATAATTCTTTATTCTTATTACAATACATATATACATATACGAACACACACACACGCGCACAAAACACACCCACACACATTCCCTAAAATTTCTAGAATCCAAATTATTAATATTTAATAGAATTGTGATCAGCGTGAATATTGTATTGATTCTTTATTACAATAGTATAATTATCTAAGAAGAGAGGAAGATAAAGATTTGTTATTGGTGGGCCCCACCTAACATGTGGACCCCAATCCCATGCTTTTTTTTTTCTTTTAAATTTTTATAGCACTGTACTTCCATACTCCTTTGGTTATGTATATTAATTGGATTATGTAAATTAAAAAATTAGTTAAAACGGGTTAAATGCAATGTATGTGTAAAAAACTATATTTTTACAAAAGCAATCTTATTATTTGTGAAGAGTGAAAATAAGCAAGAGGTAAAAAGTTAATACAATAGTACAAGAGGTTATTAATAAGAACAAAAATATTAAAAAAAATTTCAAACATCATTTATGTATATTTTATAAAGGATTAATACAACTTTTGATCCTTTAAATTTGCCTTCATTTTGATTTTGATCCCTCAACTTTTAAACCATAAGTTTTTGTTCTTCAAGTTTCTTTTTATTTAAAGCATTAGTTTCTATAATCCAATAAAACTTGGACTATTTTGCCTCTTGAGAGACCAAAACCTATGGTTTGAAACTTAAAAAATCAAAACCAAAATGAAGGTAAACCTAGAAACCAAATATTATATTAACCTTTTTTTATGAATAAGACTTCTAACTCTAAAGACCTCTTGTTATAATATTGAAGTTGAGGAAGTATATTTGTGATGGGAGGGTATCCCTAACATTTGGGGTCCACCAATGAACAATATCTATTTGTTGTGTTTCTTATAGCACAGTAAATATGCATATGCGTATATATGGTTGGTATATATACCAGAGGTTGCATGAAATAGAGAGGTCCAGCAATTTGAGCAGGCCAGTGACCATCTTTCGATTGCAATGCGCTTAGATAATGAGTTGCCCTTCTCACAGTGTTCCCAACTTTTTCATCACTTATCTCCTCTCCTTTCTCTATCTTCACCCTTGGTATTTTTTGTTTGAAATTCTTTTCCCTCAGGAACTGCATAAAGTCAATCACCATTAGTATTTAACATTAGTTGATATAAGATTTATTTAATTAAGTTGGATGGATTAAAAAAATAGTTAAATTAATTATTCGTAAAAGATATGTTTTAATTACTCTAAAATATCTTTTTAAATCATTTGCATTGAAACTATACTCATACAAACTCTCTTAACATGTGCAATCAACTATGACAGTTTAAAAAAATAATAATAATTACAAAAAACAAAATAAATTGAGATAGTATATTTATAAATATTTGAAAACTCGGATTAGACTAGCTAGGTTGACTTGAAAACTAATGACCTAGCTTCTTGGCTGGTCCAGCAAGCAAGTAGCTAATTCAAGGAAGAAGCGAACCTGTATGACTCAAGACCAAAAGTAAAACTATACTCCTTAATGCATACTCTCTTAATATATATATATATATATATATATAATATCAATAGGAATAACTTTAAAAAATGATAATTATGGGAAACAATATTTGTCAAACTCAACGCCCAACTAATTCTTATATTAAGGACTAGAGGATGTAGTACAAGACGGAAATATAATATTTGTCAATGAATCAGCTTGGTTTGCCAAATATATAATTAATTCATGGAATTGGCCGTTTCCTTAGCGTGTGTAATCTAAAATGTTGTGATGCTTATTTGGAGAGGAAATCAAAATCAAATTCGGTCCTAATTATAAAACCTCATTTGTAGCCTACAAATGAGGCCTTATAATTATGACATGAGGTGGTATATAATTATACAAGTAAAGTAGAAGAATACACATTAAAAAGAAAGAGAGACAATTAGAGAGTTATTAGCCTAAGAGAAAAACAGTACCTGTACGACGATACCTTGAAATGCCATGAAAAGCTAGCTACGTACGTACATAGCTTAGGGCTTGAGGTTTAAGCGATTATAGCAAATAATTAATGCATGAAAGTGGCTGCCTTGATTGAGGAAATAATCGAAATCAAAATATACAAATACAAGTACAAATGAAAATATGTATAATAATTAATAGCGGTAAAAAGTTGGAAACTTATTTAATTTTTTAGATAGGTTTCATAGTTTGTCATTTGTTTCATTGAAATATGCTAAAGATAACATATAAATAAAATAAAATCAAAGTGGTATTTTAATAGAGTATTCCTGCGGAAAAGAAGAATTTAATATAATTGAATTTACACAAACTTAGGATTATAAAAACCTTTTACAAGACATTCTATATTAAAGACAGGAGCTGAGTGTTAAAGAGAAGAGAGACCAAGAAGTGAAAGAGTGAGGGGAAAAAAAATTTAGAAACGTCATAGACAAAATGAGTAAAAACTTGTATCTGAAAAAACCATCAATGGTTGTTCACCCAAAAAAAAAATCATTGGCATGCATACATACTATCTCTGGTCTTTAATACATATGAGACTAGATAACTAACTTAAAAAGATTG